CTCTCTCTCTCTCCTTCCTTCCTTCCTTCCTTCCTTCCTTCCTTCCTTCCTTCCTTCCTTCCTTCCTTCCTTCCTTCCTTTCATAGAAGACAGCAACAGCTAAAGAGCAGCACAGGCACAGTAGAGGACACCAACTGCAAACATATATAAAATTCTACTATTTTGACATTTTTAATCAGTTGATGATGCCAAAATGATAATTGTTGATTAGTTAACTGTTAGGTGCTCACTAAGCCAAGCTTGGTCTAGCCTTCTAGTTATTTTCTGCATTTATTTGTAAATGATGCCAAGCTGAACATTAAAACAATGAAATAGGACATTTTCACACTGCAGTGGTTTGATGTACTTTCTTGGTAAACCGGGCTCCTGAAATGGAAAGGAGGGATGGAGAAACCAGGAATTGGTTCTGATTGTGAAGGGAATGGATTGTGGGCTAAGTGCTGCCAGTGGAAATACACAGAAGCCTGGGCTCAGAGGCAACTGGTTTTTGAATTACAGGGCTGAGGACAGACAACTGGCTGCAACTGTTCAATGGCAAGGGGAAAAGTGCTCTGTGTATTCTCAGAGGCAGTTTGCACAAAAACTAACTTCTGGTTGAATCCTGGTCATTTTTGGCACAAACTAAGTCATTATGGAGGGAGATAAGGGAAGACCTTGCTTAGCATGCCAGAATTGTGAAAAGGAGCTGGATGTTTATGGAGTATTGCTGGTCATAAAGTGATGGTGGGGAGGGTCAAATTGTTATGCAGAGGCAGGCTTGGTGCTTAATGTCTTCAAGCAATGGTGATGTTTTTAATCTGTGTGAGAAAAATTTCATCACTTTGCAGACCCACCAGATGTGAGAAAGGAAAAGCTTTAATGTAAAAGGAAAATCACTCAGAATAAGTATTCTGCCAAGCATTGCAATGCACAGAACACAGTGAATTTGCCACTGAGACTACTATACTGCCATCCGAACATCTGACATAGTTTTGTATAAGTCTTCCTTGTCCAGCCAATGAGTCATGTATAATCAGTTAAAAGGCAGCTTGTAGGGTATAGTATAGAACAGGCTTTCCCAACTTAGTGCTTCCAGAAGTTTTAAGTTTTCAGCTCCCTTCAGTTCCAGCCAGCATGGCCAGCTGTCAGGAACGCTAGGAGTTATAACCCAAAACAAGTGGAGGTCACCATGTTAGAACACTGATCTAGGAACATCTACTTGGCTTTGGGAGTACTTAGGTGATATATTACATGATCACAGCTTCTGCTGTAAGTTAATGGTATCACACAAAGGAAAATTTTTACAGACCTGCAATTGGCCTCAATTATTAATGGATTGGTGGTGTAGGGGAAAACACCACTACCCAATGTTTGGCGCAGCAGCTGGGTCCACCATATTCCCACCCACCATGTCACAAGGAGAAATGGATAGGGCATTCTTTCACAAGAAAGCCCATGAAATAGCACGTAAAGGGCTAGTGGAGCACTGGCACCTTGCCATCCTGCATATCTTACATCACTGCTACTTCTTTTGCTGCTCCAGTTATGGTGGAATCAGTGTTAAGGCCACATTCCTGCCATTCTTTAAGCCTCTGCCATATTTTTCCTTGAAGTAGGGCTTAACACTTTCATGTTATGCTGTTTTAATAGGCTTATAAAAGAATGATGAATGATGCTAGTGCTCTCCCCCATTTCAGTGTTTATTGGGCATGAACCGGGTGATATAGTAATCTTTAGCAGTCCTTAGCATCTAAGGGAAATGTTTCCAGCAAATGAACCCTATTTCAATATGCTCAGAGAGTAACAAGGTATTTCTACAGTTTCTGTCTAGGGTGCATAAAAATAATGTTGTGCTTATTGATAAACCCTGGTGATATTATGAATAAAACTAGCTATTGCCATTTTATAGATATAAGAGTTCTAAAAATGTTTAACACTTGCTGGTTTCTTATGAAAGCAACAAATGGATATTGCCTGGATTACTAAATTAATGCCTATTCAGAACACAGAAGTATGTTAGCTACATAACCTATAAACTAGGTACCTGAGGCCCATTTATTAAACGTCTTGGCTGTAAGCCTTCACCTACATTCATTTACAACCTACTAATTTAGTCTGATTTACTGTATGATCCCAGGCATGTTCACTTGAAGTAAATTCCACTGAGTGCAATGGCACTGGCTTTTGCCAAGCATCGTAGTCATAAGCCTACGTAGGTTTGCATAATATTTCAACCTTTGTCCCAAATACTTTTATACAATTAGCATGCTTTAACTCAGCCTTTTTATCCAGGAGAGGATAACCCGTCTGCTGACCAAATTGGCAGACGATACCAAAGTGGGACCAGGGCTGCAGCAGAGGAGCAGGCACTCCAGACTGAAAAGGATCTGGACAGACTGTGGAACTGGGCAGGGGACAACAGGATGGTGCTCAGTACGGATAAGTGCAAAGTCTTGCACTTGGGAATCGGGAATAAGTGCCATCGGTGCAGGATGGGGGATAAGTTGCTGGAGAGTAGCACTTTTGAAAAGAACTTGGCCACAGCAGGCTAAGCATGAGCCAGCAGGTGGTTAGGAGGGTGCATGCCACCCTTGGATGTATAGCCAGAGTCGAGGCTTCCAGAGAGGTGCACGTGCGCACCAC